GAAAGCGCAAGCGCTCGATAGGCGCATGGTATTGATAGAACATTTCCTACTCAATCGCAACAAACCCGCTGAATTTACAGATGATGCTTTCACTGTGTTCGTTAACCACGCGGCGCGCTTCTTTGTTCTGGAAGATAACCTTTGGCGCCGCGAGGCGAACGGCAAGCACCAGATCGTGGTAAGGCCGCATAAGCGCTACCAAATTTTGAAGCAAGCGCACAACGATCAAGGGCACAAAGGAATATACGCCGTTCGCTCGCGGTTGCTACTGCGTTTTTGGTGGCCGCACATAGATGACGACATTAAATGGTACACGCGCACATGCCACGAGTGCCAGACCAGGCAATCGCTCAAGCTTCATGTCCCGCCGATGGTACCGACGCCAGGAGGATTGTTCCGCAGGGTGCACATTGACACAATGAAAATGCCCAAAGCGGGAGGATATGAGTATCTAGTTCAAGCGCGTTGCGCACTTACATCATATCCGGAATGGCGCATGTTGCGCAAGGAGAATACGAAATCGCTTATGGCCTTCATATATGAAGAACTCCTATGTCGATGGGGCCCTATCACGGAGATTATTACTGACAACGCGCCCGCTTATAGATTAGCCGCTGATATGCTCGCAGAGCGGTACAATATCCACCCAATCCGCATATCGCCTTATAATTCGCAAGCGAATGGTATAGTAGAGCGCCGACATCGTGATGTCCGGGAGGCCATCATTAAAACTTGCGATGGAGATGATACTCATTGGTATCAAGTCGTTCACTCGGTATTTTGGGCCGAGCACGTCACCATACATCGCGCAACGGGTTTATCACCGTATTTTATGGTGCACGGCGTAGAGCTGATCTTCCCTTTTGACCTAACAGAAGCAACGTTCTTAGCGCCAACACCAGCGCGCGCGGCGTTTAGTACCACAGAACTCATTGCATGGCGCGCACGCCAGTTGCAGAAGCGCATTGAGGATCTCATGGCTATTAGAGACAAGGTAATGAAGGCGCACTTCGCGTTGGTTCGCGACTTCGAAAAACGCTTCCGTGCGACTATCCGCGACTATGATCACGCGCCCGGCACCTTAGTGCTGGTGCGCAATTCGAAGGTTGAGTACGAGCTCAGCAAGAAGACAAAGCCGCGATACTTGGGACCAATGATAATAGTGCGCCGCACGAAGGGAGGCTCATATCTGCTGGCCGAGTTGGACGGCGCTATCTCTAAATTGCGCTACGCAGCGTTCCGCGTCATTCCCTATTTTCCGCGCAGCAATGAGCGCATTATGGTGACAAGCATCACCGGTAAAGACGACAAAACCCTTGATCACTTAGCCGACGAAGATGTCGAAGAACCCGACGAAGACGAACCCGAGCGCGCGTTCGACGCATAGCGCTTATCCACTTCCCGCATATTAACCAACACTCTCACGCACATATCCGCACAAAACCGCTATTACCCCGCTCAACACATCAACAAAAACAACATATAACCCAAAAACAACCGCAAAAACATACCATAGATTTCACTTCTCTCCGTTTTACCCCGGGCTTCGGCCGGCGACCTCAGTTTCCCTTATCATGTCTCATAACACGCGCATTGCATTGAACATACAACCAACAGACTCTATCCTATGCAAAGCCGATCGGCCGATAATCAACCCCATATATATATATATATTCAAAAGATAAGTTATCATAGAAGCGCGCGCATAACCACCCATAGACCTTCTCTTTCGAACGCGCGCCGCCACGCCGCGCACATTTACGTTTATAATGTTATATGCCAACAGCACCTAATACCCAGGCAACGCACAGGGATAATGAAGGAATAGACGCGACAGGACGTCCGATGAAGAAAAGACAAGTGCGCAGCTTGCGCGACCGCCGTATTTTCTTATGACTCTATATTATTTCATGCGCTTACTCAGAATTTCCTTACTTCATTAGGCTGGCGAACTGAATCAGACATGGAAATGGAATTGGATTGGAATCGGACCGGATGCGACAGGATACTAATATTAAGACGCACCAGGCGCCGCTCTGCGGGGAGACTCTATAGTACAGGCGCGCTGGCGCCAACAGGGACTCTATACTAAGAAGAAAACATTCTAGCTATCACTCCTTCTTCTCCTCTAGCATTTCCGCAATCTCCTTCTCCCAAGCACCCCAATCGCGCCCCATGCTGTAAATGCGATTGCTCATCGCCAATACCTCCGCCTCCTGCATACGGCTATGCTGCCGCATGTCAACAACTACCCCCTTCCACTTCGCCACCTCGGCCTCCAGCTCAGCGTTTCGAATGCGCAGTTGAGCGGCCTCGATACGAGACTCGTCCAACTGCGCCGCCAAGTCAAGGCGAGGGCGCTTAGGCGCCGGCGCAGGACAGGAAGCGAGAGGACGCTTCGCACGTTGAACGACAATCGTCTTGCCGCCAACGGCGGCATCCTCATCAACGGTCGACTCACCGACGATTTCCATGTCCGATGAACCAACATTAGGGACGGTATCGGTAACCGAACCCGGCGCCGGCCCAGCGACAGGAGGAGGCGTTTTGCCCTTAGGGGCAGGCGCAGGAACAGGCGTCTTCGCCTTAGGCGCAGCGGTCGACGCGGCCACCTTGGGTTTCGGCGCAGCCGGCGCGCGCTCCTTTGCCTTGTCGCCAACTGAAAGAAGATAGTTAGTAAAAAGATGAAAGAAGGAAAAGAGGAAACATACCAAAGGAACAGCCCTTCTTGGCCTTGGTGCATCCCTTGCAGCGCAGGTTGCCATCGACCAGCACGCAAGGGATCTCAGCAGTCGCGCATCGCGCGCACGGGACGTCCGGATGCGTAATCACCGGAGTCGTGGTAATACGACCGCCGAGACGCTAGTAAGAACAAGTTAGCGAAAAAAAAAAAAAGGAGACATAAAAGAAAGAAACTTACCGGGCGACCCATGTCAGTCACCTCCGATGAGGCCGCCTTCTCAGCCATCAGCGCAGATTCCAGCGCCTTCTCTTTCTCCAAACGCACCTGACGCGCCGTCGGCGCGGACTCCACAGCCTTCTCCTTCCAAGCCTTAACAGTCTTGTAAAGGGCCTTAGCGGCGACCTTGCCAGCGGCAAGATCGACCGCTTCCGCATCGCTGAGGGACAGATGTACCTCAGCGGCGCGCGCCTGGTCAAACAGCGAACTCATGTCGCTCTAAGAAAAGTTATATTAGTGATCAGTAAGCGACACATCAATCATACAAACTCACCATAGTCCGTTCCCAAGCGCGGAGCCAAGTCTCCTGATCTTCGAGGAGCTCCGGTTTCGCAGGAGGACTGGTCTTCACCGAGACACGCATCATGCCTAGTGTCACTGCCCAAGACCGACGGATCCGGTCGGCAACGGTTTCCTGCGGCTCCTTCGGAGTCGCGTCGTCGAGGGTGGCGTCGTCAACGGACGTGTTACCTTCATCTTGAGGGCGCTCCTCAGGTTCGGGTGAAGGGGAGGGAGACGCAGTAAGCATAGCAGGGTTAAAAGGAATGGAGGACATGATGGTATAGCGATGAAGAGATTATCGCGAAGACGCGATGGATAATTGAATTGAAGAAGAGAAGCGCGACGCGAGGCCGGTTCTTTTATGCCCGAAACGAACCACATTATGTCAGCACAATAGCGCTCGCAGTCCACAAGCTCGCAAAACGCCGGTGGACCGTTCCACATACGCTTTCAACGCGTCCTACCCACGGTCACGTGACTTTCCTCGTCGAAATTTTACCAAGTCTCTCCGCCCCTATATACACTGACTGGGGACAGTCAGAAGCTAAGTTCCTATGAGATGTAGAGACTAATATCTCTGTGGCCTTGCAGGGGTCTAAAATCCCATTCTTACTACCACTTCCTCACATAGCGCGACTCATACCTCACGCAGCGCGCCCCCGCGCTTTGTCGGCCGCTCGCAAGCGCCAGCGCTCCGGTCGCTTCTTAGTCGCGCATCGGCGCGCACATCCTTGGTTCCGTCGCACGTCCTCTGTCCATCCATTCCATGTCCGTTCGGTTCGTCGGTGCGTATTCCGATTCTATTTTCATTGATTTAACATATCTCCGGCGCTTATGGTCATATTTCGTATGTTTCCGTTATGAACCCTTATTACATATTATCTCGCGTCCGCTTCGCTTCTCGGCTCGCTTTAGCGCTTGACAGCGCTTATCATTACTTAGTATATATAGACGTACATAAACTGTGTAAGGGTATCTTTTCCTGCCCACACGTCGTTGGACTATAAGTCTAAAGTTATCCTCTAAAAACTAGAAAGGGTATCAAAGTACAATACGAGCGCCGTCGCCGTACTCTACTAGAAACTCTGTCAAATTAGTATTCTGACTCATTAAGAGTCGCTGCGCTCTATCACCCCCGCGCGCATTGCTTCTGCTTAAAGCGCGCGCTTCCGTATAAGTCGCGCGCCGATATCTGTCGTCGGCCGCTATCGCTCATCGGCGCCTCACGTCGCTTTCGTTCGCTCGCACTTCGCTCATTGTCGCGCGCCTAACCAGGCTTGACCAAGCGCCCGGTTCAGTGTTTCCCTCCGTTTATACACCTAGAGGAACCTTCTCAGTAGCAATCCCCTTGGGCCGACATATATCTCGCTCACCGAGGACTACTTGAGTTATCTCACACCACCTATTTTCACCCACTTCCCATTCCTCTTCTACAACGGTGGTGAGGGCGCCATTGTCTTGTATGAGTGTAACGCGTGCTCTCGCATTATGTGTAGCAAGTGCATTGAGGTCCCACACTCCTTCGTTGATGTCGTCCAATAGCTGAACATCTCCTTTTTTTGCTTGGCATGTCACTCCAAAGCAACTTTGGGGTCTCCAGCGCCATTCTATGTAAGTAATTATTTTTTTTGCCATATTCAAATTTATGCAAGGACCACAGGGATTTTTCAGGGATGATCTGCCTGGTCTGGGTGGCAAGGAGGTGCTACCATCCTTCCTGCGGCTCAATGGTAAGTACGAGATGACATCGTCTTCCGTCATGGCCGCTTCACCCATCACCATCATCCACTTTATCCTTGGTGGCGAAGACACCATCTGCACGCCGGTTTCTCTCATATGCGAGTTCCTGGGGACATTCTACCCTAATGGGGGCTTTACATACACCAAGGTTGCCTTCAATGTGACATCTCACAAGAAGATAGATGAATATGAGCAGTCACAGGTCGACTGTGTTGCACAAATCACTCAGCACCTTGCTTGCAACGGTTGTGTTGTTGTCTTCTTTTCTGATCACTCCGAACAGGACTGCGGTTGGCTCTATGGCGCTCAAGCACCAAAGGAAGATGGCAGTGGGGTTGAATATGTTGCTATGGACGTTTCTCATGTGAGTCTTTCTGATTTCTCTTGCATTTAACGCGCTTACCATTATTTCTTAGGTCCTCACTATGGTTCTTTCGCCCTACTCTACGGTGTAGAAGAGGAATGGGAAGTAGGGGAATATAGGTGGTATGAGATAACTCAAGTAGTCCTCAGTGAGCGAGATATACGTCGGCCCAAGGGGATTGCTGCAGAGAAGGTTCCTCTAAGTGTATAAAATGGAGGGAAACACTGAACTGGGCGCTTGGTCAAGCCTGGTAAGGCGCGCAACAATGAGCGAGTGAAAGCGACATGAAGCGCCGATGGGCAATAGCAGCCGATGATAGATAATGGCGCGCGACTTATAACGGAAGCGTGCACTAAGCAGGAGCGGTGCACGTGCGGGTGGTGGAGCTGCAGTGACTCTTTAATGAGTCCGAAAACTAATGGGCAGAGTTTCTAGTAATGTACAGCGGCGGCACTCATATTGTACTTAGATACTTTAGATTTAGAGGGAAACTTAGACTTATAGTCCAACGATGTGTGGGCAGAAAAAGATACTCATTATCCAGTTTATGCACGTCTATATATACTAAGTAATGTTAAGTGCTGTCAAGTGCTAAAGCGAACCGAGAAGTGAAGCGGACACGAGATAATATGTAATAAGGGTCCATAACAGAAAACATATGAATTATGGCCATAAGCGCCAGAGATATGTCAGAATCAATGAAAATAGAATTGGAATACGCACTGACGAACCGAACGGACATGGAATGGATGGACGGAGGACGGGCAATGGAACCGAGGATGCATGCGCCGACGTGTGACTAAGGAGTGACCGGAGCGCTGGCATGCGCGAGTGGCCGACAAAGCGCTTGAGTGCACTGGGTGAGATATGAGTCATGCTATATTGGGAAGTGATAGAGACAACAGGATTTTAGATCCCTGCAAGCCCACAGAGATATCAGTCTCTACAACGGTCCTCAAGAATGCTCATATCGTGTTTCTGGTCTGCAGCTCTGTGACTGCACATCCGGACACCTACAACCAACTCATGTCCACCATTCTTCACTTCAAATTCGCCTCTGCTATTGTTTTCACAGCCAAATGGTTCCAGCCACTTGTGGCTTCTAGTTTCTTCCTGGTGTTGGTGGAACAGCTCTGTGTTCGCAAGACCTTCCCTGAGCTGCTAGCACTGTCCGGCCACCTTGGATTACACACCAAGGTCATCCTCATGACTCTGGACACCACTAGTCCTAACTGCCAGCTCGAATGCACAACGTTTGCACACGCCCATACCCAGACTCAGCCTTAGGGGATCGAGGTGCCTGCACAGTGCCCTCAATGTGGTTCGACCAAAACCTGGTGTGAAAAGGTCACTTTGACGGTGTAGAGAATCATGCCTCTCATGGCGTGATATGGCAGTTTTCACTAAGGAGTACATAGCACGAACTTGTAGTGTCACTCCGTGCGCTACCCGCAGCTATCTCTATATGAGGCGCAACTTTCCCGCGCAACGCGCGCCATGCGCGCACCATTCCCGCGCGCGCGTTCCCACACTTAAGCGCCCTATAGCGCCAGCCATCCAGAAGCATCAATCCACTGTCCACCAAGCTCCCTAGTATGTATATTTCCATTTCCTTTATTAGCATAGTTCCACCTTTATTTTTATCATGGATTCTCACTCATATATATCTTTACATACCTACTCGGTAGCGCTTCGGCTCTGCATGACCGTGCTTAGGCGCGCTATATAAGCGCCAGCAGTACATACTATTACTTAACTTACTTTTCACCCAACTTACTAGTTACCACCCACTATTTACTTAGCAGAACATAGTAGAAGTCTATTTGTCTACACTTTGCATCACTCTTCTCTTATCTTGTATCATATCATCACTTAAGTTTAGTCTCTCTACCATTTCCGCACACGCACGCGCTCTTTCCCGCGCTTCGCGCTAATACGCGCGTGTGTTCCCGCACCTTGCGCGCACCTGCGCTTTCTCATGCTTCGCTTCAGCGCACACTTCTAGATTCTTGCTGCACTCGCTTCCCCTAGGGTCGAACGCGCTTGTCTCCTCAAGTAACGCAGACTAGGCAACGCACGACCTACAACATTTTTTAGATACAGTTTGGAGCATCATTGTTCCTCTCTGTATTGTTGTTTCTACAACGGTTCACTTAGGCTCTCCTCAGTCGGATGCAACATCGGAGCTGTCTGTTACACAGTACGTATACTCTTGTAAGTACTCCAACTGCGGTACTGCCCAGAAGCTCCCACCCCACAAATTCACCATCGAGAGACCTCTGGGATTCATGGTGAACTCAGCAAGGACCACTAAGTCCGGTTGGTTTCAGTCGCCATCTACATTTTATTCACCCCCTTCTTTGACCAAAGGCAAGCGCAAGAATGAGGAGGGCACATCTAGAGGGTCGGCAAAGAGGGGGCGGAAGTGATTTTGCAAAGTGTTCTTTTGGTCGCATCTTACTTACATTGTTGACCTGTGTTTTTCATTTCAATTTAGAATTAGTTTAATCAAACAGTTTGTGTCTTGGTGATTGATACGTGTTTGATTGCACATGGCCGCGTTGTTGAAAATTCACATATTGTGGCCAAGGTCATATCTACATCATGCATAAATCTCACTCTGCTAATATTTCCAAATTCCTCAATGTCTGACTGGTAAGTATCATTTGAAGAAATCCTTGATGAGCACAAGGAGGATTTCCTAAAGGCAAACAATCCACAATCAATGTGTCACTGTCAGTCTCCGTAACGTACAAGACATGATTGTTGATGTTCACAAGTCACATAATGATCCTGTGGATCTGCCAAAGGCCCTTAAATTGGTAATGACATTTGCTTGAGTTCACAATGTTACTAACACTACATAATACAAAGGCCATCAGACATTATTATTTCCAGTTCATCACTGACAAGAATGATCGAAGGGCAGAGGAGGATATATTACGAAATGATCAGGAGGGAGACCAGTCTGGTGTGTCCCCAGAAGAGAGAGAGGCTAATGCTCGTCCCAAGGATGCTTTGTTCTACAAGAAGCAGCTTACTGATTGGGACATCACCCAGAAGCTCTTCAGGCAGGAGATCGACAACTATGACAAAGAAGAGCAACAGAAGATGGGAATCACTCATTCTATCAGGCACCATATGGGTCATGCCAGGAAGTGGTTTAATAATATGACCCCTGCTCAAAAGAAGGACGTTCAGCAGGCCAAAGATAAATGGAATGAGGAAGGTGCCCCTGCAGAATCTCAGGCAATGTAAGTTGTTACCTTTTTGAATCAATCTCTCCTATAACACATTGCTAGGTACCGAAAGAGGAACCTCAAAAAAATCCTCGACAACTTTTCACAGGAAATTGCTCGTACTATGGGATGTCGAATCGTCATGCTCATCAGCCACAAGAAATCAGGGGAGATGTCCTTGGGTGTCTCCATGTACGTGTTCTTTGTTGGCTTCAAATTCAAACTATAGGGTCTCATTTTTGTTAAGCCACGAGTCTGAACCTGTCACGTCCAAGAAGGCCTTCACAGTGAGTTCACGAGGCAACAAGGAATGGGTGGCCGACAGCTTCAAAAAGTTTTCGGAGTGGTCAAAGCAAGAATTTTGTGAGTTTTTCAATTTATCAGGTCATGTGTATGCTACTCAATACTTATGTACTTAATATGATCAGACCCTGCTGATGACAATGAGGACGATGATGACGACGCCGAGGAGGAGGAGGAGAAGCCATCCTTGCCTGAAGTCGTCTTGGACAATGATGGCTTTGCAAAACAACCCTCGCATGCAGATGTTCCCCTCAAGGGGCAACAAGAATTAATTCATCAAATTTTTCATGCATCATATAGTAAGTAAATGTGCGTTTCTGACTTTCCTACAGCTCAACTTGAGTGTCTGTTTTGTAGAAGTCTTCACCGGCAGCAACAAGCCAGTACCTTGGGGTGTGATCAGCGCTGATCCTGCAACCTACGTAGATCTGGATTGTGTCCCCAAGGACTTTGTCTTCAAGGATCCATCTCACATGAGGGCGGCGGAGGTGAACAAGCTTTGGCGACATTGGGATCTCAGAAGGTCAGAAGAGGAGAAGTTAGTTGTTTTTTATGGTGGCAGGGTTGCTGACTTGAGCAAGGCCTGACTGGCGAATGCTATTCCGATGAAGAAGGCAAAGAAACAAATGTACATGGAAATTGACGAAGAAAATGCACAGCAGTCCTTGCCTGCCCAATCTGCTGCTGGTACAGAGCAACCAGCCAGCTCACAGTCTACAAAGTGTCCTGAACAGCCGGCTGACTGCACCTCCCTCACCATGTCGGCCAGCCCACAGCCTACAAAGCATACAAAGATGCCGGCCGGAGAATCAGACAGCTCAGATGATGACCTGTCTTTATCAGCTCCTGAAGCTCATTTGCAAGCGCTCACTAGCTGTCCATCCTTGGCTCAACATGGGGCACCTGCGGCTGTGCCAATGAAGGACCATATGTTGTTTTCACGGGGTCTCAGCAGCAATGGCGAGTATCTGCACTATGTCGAGGCCATGAAGGACTTGAAAAAGGTAGCTGGTCCATTTATATTTAAACTGTCAAACTTGATACTTACCTAAGAAAGGAACGAACCTCTCAGCATCCAGAGGGATGGCCTACCTGGGCAACATGGTCTTGGGAAAGATCATATCTTCCCAAGACTGTGCACGACTCAGATGATCAATTGCTCAAGTTCTTGCAGATCATCAAATCTACCAGGATCTCTGCCTCGGCTTCAGCCATGCGAGTGGCCCTTGGTCTTGGTATGCTGCTAAGAGAATGCAAATGTGTCATTGAGTATGAAGCCGATGAGGCCGCCTCTGACATCCCTTCTTACATTAGTACTTCTGTCTTGGATATCAAATGCCTTGACCTTATCTTGGACACCCTCAACATAGCTAAGGGAGGGGTAGTGTGCATGTCCAATGCGAGGGTGGATATGGACCTCAAGGGAGCTGTTGTTCATTATAGAGCTGTACCTGAAGAGCTTGGTCAGAACGCGTTGGGTGGAGGACAGGAGGAGGAGGTAGAAATGGCTGAACAGGACAATGAGGAGACAAGACAGCAGCTCGAAGAAGAAGCTGGAGAATTCAAACATGATGCTGGAGAAAGAGAGTGCGGTGTAGAAATAACAATACAGCGAGGCACGAACGAGGCTCCTCACTGTATCTATAAATGTTGTAGGTCGCGCATTGCCTAGTCTGCTATTCTTGAGATGACAAGTGCATTCGACCCTAAAAGGGAAGCAAGTACAGCGAAGATCTAGAGGTAAGGACTGAAAGTGCTACCAGGTCAGCCAATGTGAGGCGCGAGAAAGCGCACAGGTGCATGCAAGGCACAAAGGCACTGGGAACGCACGCGCTTGCTGCGCGAAGTGTGGGAAAGTGCGCGCGTGTATGCGGAAATGAGAAAGAGTAAGAATAAGCTTACTTAAGTGATGATATGATGTAAGACAAGAGAAGAGAGATGCGAAGTGTAGACAAATAGATTTCTACTATGTTCTACTAAGTAGTAAGTGGGTAGTTAAAGTGAGAGGTCCAGTAAGGTAAAAGTGAAAAGTAGTTAATAGTATGTACTGCTGGCGCTTATATATGCCTAAGCGCTGTCATGCGGAGCCGAAGCACTACCGAGTAGGTATGTAAAGATATATATGAGTGAGAGTCCATGATAAAAATAGAGGTGGAACAATATGCTAATAAGAGAAATGGAAATATACGCACTAGAGGGCTTGGTGGACAGTGGATGGATGCTTCTGGATGGCTGGCACTATAGGGTGCTCAAGCGCAGGAAAGTGCGTGCGCATATACATCGCGAAGCGTGGGAATGGTGCGCGCGTTGCGTGGGAAAGCTGTGCCTCATATAGGAATAGCTGTGGATAGCACACTGAGTGGTGCTGCAAGTTCATGCAATGAACTCCCTAGTGAAAGGTGCCATATCACACCATGAGAGGCATGAGTCTCTACAGCGGATCTGCAGAAGATGTACCAGGTTGCTGACGGTCAAAAGGACAGGGAAGATGAAGAACAGCATGTTGTAGAGCACAGGGATGTCGAGGAGGACACAGATGAGGAACAGGTACAGGAAGAGCATGTGGTCGCAGAGAAGAAAGGGAAGAAAGACGCAAGTCAGGGGTATCAGGACCTCCTGCCAAGAAGTCCAAAACTGACCTTGTTCGACGATCTGTCAGAGCCAGACAACCCTCCAAGAAGGCCTTATGCAACTGATTTAGAATAGTCTTTCATTATCATACTGTTGTGCTGTCATGTGTCCGCAATTCATTGTTTGTATTTCTATCTTAAAGCTGGCTGGTCCCAGTATACATACTCAACAAGATACAAATGCATGGTAGTAGCTCAGTCATGTGTACCCAGCTGGGAATGATGCTACCAGGCTGGCCAGCATGTTAGTAGATAAATGTAGTAGCAGTGCTGGCCGACTGCATCAGCCATGTATACCAGGCCGGGAAACATGCTACTAGGCCGGCCAGCATGTTAGTACATGATTGTAGTAGCAGTGCTGGCTGGAGGCATAGGGTAGGACTGCCTGGCCGACATACATTCTACCAGGCTGGCAAATACACCAGGTATGCCCGGCCAAGATACATTGTAGAGACTGATATCTCTGTGGCCTTGCAGAGGCTATATATGCGACCTGTCTCAGAGTACAGTTTGATACACAACTTGTGCCAATACCTTTCCAATCATTCCCTATGTGAAGCGAAACTCTCCCGCGCCAAGCGCCAAGTGAGCGCTACCTTCCCGTGCATCGGCCACCCCAAGCGCTGCATTCCCGTGCTCGAAGCGCCCTACGTCGCACGTCCATCCATTGTCCAAACTAACCTCGCTGGTACGTGTTCATATCATTTTCTCCATATCAGACCATATTCTATTTTAATGATTGCTCAATTCTCATGTCATGGACCCTTATTACATACCTTACCTACTCGCTTCTGCTCCGCTTCAGGGGCACATTTTTAGACATATATAAGCACCTGTAGTTCATATTTTACATCATCGAATCATATAGAAGCTCCCTGCACCTCACTATCAGTGTAAAGCTCATCCTTCACATGCCATAGTCAGTATCTATTGGCAATAAGAACATCCTTAACATCTATTATGAACCTCTGCTTGTAAACCCACCTTGCGCTTTTCCCGCGCTTCGTGCTGCTCAAGCGCTACCTTCCCGCGCATTGACTGCCCTAAGTGCTTCGTTCTCATGCTCGCACCTCTCACACTTTCCCGCACTCTATGTCGGCCGACGAACGGCACCCTTTTGCACCAACCCCTAGATCTCTGCTGCACTTGCTTCCCCTTTAGGGTCGAACGCACTTGTCACTACAAGCATAGCAGCTTAGGCAAGCAGACCCAACACATAGTTCAGAATACCACCATCTGGATTGTTGTTTCTACAATGTGTTACCAAGATGGCCAGCAGGCTAATACATCAATGTACCAGCAGTGCTGGCTGGAGGCATAGGGCAGGAATGCCTAGCCAGGATACCTGTTGCCAAGATGGCCAGCATGTTTTTACATACTGCAGCTGGCCTCACCCCTACCAGCCCGGCCAGCAGGCTAGTACATCCATGTAGTAGCACTGCTGGCCGAAGGCATGGAGCAGAACTGCCCGGCCAGCATGCATTCTACCTGTGTGGTAGCAGTGCTGGCCAGAGGCATCAGCCATGTATACCTGGCTGGCTCACTCCTTACCAGTATGGCCAGCAGGCTAGTACATGGGTGTAGTTGTGATGCTGGCCGACAGTATAGGTAGGACTGCCCGGCCGGAACACAGTCTACCAAGCCGACCAGCCTGATTGTACATTACTGTAGGAGCAGTGCTGCCTGAAGGTATAGTACAAGTGTTCCTGGCCAGCACTAATTCTACGAACACAGTACACATGTACCTTCATGACCAGCCAACTTCATCGGCCTGGAATGAGGTGCTCATCTGTGCCACTGCCACTGAATACCTCAATGCTTTTCTCTTTATCTTCATCTTTGATTACAGCAGTAGCTTTCCCCCCAGCCTGAGCCTGAGTAGACGCAGAGGAAGGGACGTGGTGCAAGTGCGGGGCCATTGTTGAACTACTAGTAGAACTGTTTAGTAGTCTTGAGCCAATAAATTCAATTTGTTTCATCCCACCAATCACTGGAAGCGAGAAAATTTTCAATGGGACGGTGACTTGACTTCATAAATAGTCAGATAGAGTTAATTGCTAGACACTAGCGTGGTGGAACAAGAGAGAGACTAGACCCCTAATTGCCACAAAACCATACATACACTAGTACATAATCTCTTTCCCCTCCTGCGACCTTCTACTACTAGCCTTCCTAGACAAGAGAAACACGTTAACTACTAGCCCTCCTGGTATGTCTGTGTATGAACCGGATGTGGTTTGCAAACTTCTGTTAGTGCTGGAGCCGAAGAATTCGCAGAAAAAGTTTGAAGCAAGCTGGAACAGCGCAGTAAGCAGGCAGAAGGATGCTAGGACTATGTGAAAACAAAGAGGAACTGACCTGAGCATCAACACAGGTCAAAAAATGTGTTGAGTCGTGGACTGGACATGCGACTGCATGCATGACAAATCCATGTCCACGACGCCAGTATGAATGGGAGGCGGAGGTAGTCAGGTATATCAACTATATATCAGACAAGACACGCACTTGGTCAACAAAGGCACTTGCACGACCATGCCTAGACAGCAAGGTTCCTATCCTCAGCCCTTGTTTTCTGCCACCGTCTTACCTACATGCCCGGAAGCAAAATCAATCTGAGCCAGCCATCAACCCCGAGATCTTATACCTGAAAGCACTTTGTGCCATCCATCTGTTCTACTATCCCGAAGTTGTCAAGTGTCCGCAATGCAATGGTACTGATAATGTTCAGTGGGATGGATGGACCGGCACAGGTCCTCGCAATGTCCATGGTTTGATGGTTGACGAGGCTGTGATATGTATGCAGCTTCGTTGTGAGAACTGCAAAAATGATGCGACAAGAAAGGAACATGAGCATGAGCATAGCGACTTGGACAATGGATGCAGCATCAAGACTGACCTCAAAGGATATTGCTTCGCAACAACTAACCCTGACTTTTGGGGCAGCTGGCCCCACCGGTCCATTCCTGGTGGGCTCCTTAGTTCAGTCTGATTGCTGAGTTCTTATGCTAGGCTGGGGCAGGTGACATACCAGTGTTCTTCCACAGATGCGCGGTTACACGGGACTTGTTCAATCTACTAGTCGAAATGTGCCCATCATCCACAGCAGGATCTCTTGCTGAAAACATCTGATGTAAGTAGCACTAGTCCATCTCTCAAATGCCAGTGATCTGACGCACCTTAAAGAACTGCATCTTTTCGAGTACCACAGGCACAAGCTCAGCTATCTTCAAGCTTGAAAATCCTGTCGAACGACGTGACATGGAATGGACTTTTTCAGTCCCAACCCGCTTTGGCTATTCTCAGATCCATATGACGTAAACAACTACAATGACAGACCTATCTCAAATGACATGGTCAGTGAGGTCTTCCAGGACTTTGTCTCAGCAACACAGGGAAAGTGAGTCAGAAGAATACCTTCGCACACTCTCAGGTGAGAACATTTCATACTTTGTTTGGTTTTCAAAACTGACCTTAAAATCTTATGCGCAGGTGTGAGCATATCATTTGACAACACCTTCCGTGCTGCAACAAAAGCAACTGTAACGAGCCGAGAGAAGAAGAAGTTGAGGGTCCTGAAGGGTGGGATAATCAGTCTGATGAATGAGAATGGGGAGATTGTTGGCTGGGTGAGTCAATTTGAGTGCATCTGAGCATGTGAAACTGACTCAATAATATTACTAGTGATTCTGTCATGGCCAGTCAAACACTGAGATAAGTGAACTCCTTCAAGGCCTCAAGACACACTGTGATGCACTCGATGTCCCTCCACCAGAAATCTTTGTTGCTGACAATTGCTGCCATGTGCGCAGCACAGTCACCATTGTTTTCCCTGGTGCTACCATGAAACTGGATGTGTGGCATTTTATTATGAGGTCAGTGCTACTAGTACACTATTCTCTGAGCTAATCTAACCCTCACAATAAGATACCCAACTGTAATCCTCAATCCTTCAAAGAACCCTTACCAGAAGGAAGTCGTTGCAGAGGTCTCTGCATGCATACTGAAGAAGCACGCTGAAGGAGGGAGCCCAGCAAAGTATTGGGACTGACACAAGCAAGAGACAAGACTCACCTCCATAGTTGAGAAATGGTCATGCGAAGGTACGGTATGGTCAGTGGGGGCACGCAAGGTAAGTCCTTGTAACATACAAAGCCTGTTTCAAAACACTGACCACATTATTTTTTACTTAGGTTCACGAAGAGCAGCTTAAGCATGTGCATAAAGGGTGCCTCGAGCATCCACAGCAAGACATCTGGACAGATGGAAGTCATGTGGAGGGCTCCCACAAAGGTTGGAACTTGCTTCAGCGAGTGCACACCAGTGGGATTGTGACCTTCACAGCGCTCTGCCATGACTTCATCCTCCGCTGCAACATTTGTGTCACCTTCTCAAGGGCAACAAAGTCAGACTTCCTCTCATCCACCCACAGCTCACACCATGTACACCTTGTGGATGGAATCGCAAAGCTCTTCAACAATCTCTGACTCGAGGAGAAGACCATTAGTGCATGCTGCCTACCAGAGCTCCAAGATGTGCCATCAAATGAGCACTTTGGGCTCATTGAATTGAGCTTCGCCTCCACATTTGGCGGGTTACTCGACGTCAAGGCCAAAGACTCACCAGTCAATCTCAAAATGTCCAGAAACAAGCTGCTCGAGGCGCTCAGCGATGACGGTGACACAGTGGACCTTATCCTGCAGTCAACGAGGGCTGAAATCCTTGAAGAATTTGACATCAACCCACAGCTCCTCTCTATGCCTCTTTCACAGGCTGGGCCCTTGCTGGCGCACCCTCATGCCACCCCAGTTTCCAGCATCAAAACAGATGCTCAGCCTCAAGCAGTGAGGAAGCGCAAGGCGGATGATGACACCATTGTCATCTCCAACAGTGAAACTAATGAGCTGCTGCCCCGCAAAATTATGCGGCATTTGACTGCCACGCCCACAGAAGTTGCATTCCCCACCTCCAAATCCTCTTATTCTTTACTGACACGCATCACAGGCTTCACAGGGGATTCCACCAGCCACCTTGGACCACTTCCTCAAGCCCAGGAGCAGACTGCCATACTCAAAAGCTCTCTCACGGCCACTGATGGCCACCAGCGTCGGCACTCCCAGCCAACCTCAACACGAGGACACCGCAAACATTTTCACGCCCATCCTGAGGCCTCCTGGGATGACCTGGTCTCAACATTTCTTCACAATCGTGACAAGGATTGATGCTTGCGCCATGCAAATATCTGGTGATGTCGAGTTTCATTTGTTCATGGACTTGAGGGCCGAGTGCACGTGGATTTCTTTCAAGATGACACCCAGACAGTGGGCTGTAGCTACGGAGACCTACAACTGCTGTCTCAAGGAGAAGAACCGCGCTATTGGGCTCAAAACGGTGAAGAAGAACCGCCAGGTTCTTCTCTGAAAACTCGGCGAGATCAAGGTAGCCGTGATGAACTGTGTAGCAAAGAATGACTTCAAGTGTGAGTTCAGCTGCTCACTGGAATCTCATTTCATGCACTAATGACTACAATACAGCTTGCTCAGGTTCGGAAACATTCTGGAGAAGGCACTGTCATGTCATCGAGCTCATCAAGGCCAAGCCTGGCAAGAAGGTGCGCAAGTATTTCTCAAAATTTTTGTATTCATTCACTTACACTCTCTATCTACAGCTTCACAAGGCACATATGTGCTCCCGCTGCCAGACCATCATGTACCCCAGTCCCGAGAACTTGGGGTACAACCACAGACATGGTTTTTGCGCTGACAGCACCAAACAGGTGTCCAAGAATGAGCCGCCTCCACCCTGGCCACAGCCACTTGGCATTTTTTCTGAAGGCAAGCACTTCCATCCGCGTGCCTTCCTCGAAACCGTCAAGCAAATTTACAAGCAAGTCTTCCTCCGGCCATCTGGTGAAAGCCCTGCCCTCGAGCAGGAGGCATTCACAATGATGCTGCTTGATCGGTCCATGACACTCGAAGAAGGCATGGTGCTCTTCAAGCTATATGAGGAGCTCGAGATCGACAAGTCGACGCCAGACGCGCTGCTGACTGTGCACAACAGCATCAAGCATCTTTGTGTCGAGTATCTCCAGGAGCACTGGGACTCGTAGTATTATTTTTTTTTACATCTTGCAATTCAAACGCGCTCTTGCTTTGGTTCCTTAGTTACTCATTGTTTCCTTTCCCCCCTCGCTACTAATTATTCAGGTAGATTTTGTACATTACACTATCTATCTCCTCACTTTGCTTTTCACGCTCCTCCTTCCCCCATTCCCACAGCGCCAGCATGGTACTGTCCCCCCCCTTCTCCTTTTCAACCATACATACGTCATGTGACTATTTAGAATGGTCTTGAGAATGGTCCTGCACATGCAGGACCATTTTGGTGTCACATGACACCAAAATGGTCCACCCCTTCATATGAGGAAGTTGCCCAACCAATGTCGACTGATGTCATGTGACATTAGCATGGCTAGCCCAGCTCTAGTGGGAGCTTAGTCAATCTCATAAGCAATGGGACCAGGTCCTGGGACCTCATGGCCACGTGGTAGAGGCCTACTCGGCTTCAGTCGGGTGAAAACCCGAAGTTAAAAATAAATGGATATCACAATCAAGTGTACACCACATGCCGCCCATGAGTTCAGCCGATGTCTCCGGTTCACACTCTCCTGCAACTTGTGTCAAGAATCGCCCTTAACAAGGAATATCCCACATAAGCTGCATTCCCATGCAATGTCAGCTGCTGGCACTAGAAGGCGCTGGTGCAATGTGAGCCGTAGGATGTGCAGTCATAGGGGCCTGAGGGTCACTCAAGAAGGTTGCCAAAGAATAACACTGGAATGGGAGGGGTTAACCCCCCGCTAACACCATCTCGGAAGAAAGTTGCTGACAAGTAATGAACGTAGAGTGGGGTTGTACAGAATTAATGTGTAGGATTATGGAAGAATCTGGGGCCATTCTGGGGCACGCAGCCATTGGCCACTGGGTTGGGGGGGTTGGCGTAGCAACATGAAAATGATCGAGTTTGAATGTTTCTATGAAACCTCCCATGTGGTCCCACTTGTCCAGCTTCATAATTGTTCTTTCACCATTTCACTGGGCAGGTAGAGGTGAATCAAGACCTCATGAAGCCACATAATTGATTTGATCTGACTGTCCTACAGAAGCCATGGTACAATGAAAACACGTGTGATGATCACAGTCTCCACATTGTATCAGTGAACCAGTAACAATGATTTACATCAGCAAACTATTAATTTAGTGACAAATCCACACAAACCCACACAAGGCCATATACACATTGCAGAAGACACAAGCAAATAATCAAAAATTGGGAACAAACTTGACAAGCACACAAGTAGCACAGACGCACAGACATACAAACTGTACAAATGGTAAGACTTGTGTACGAAAATACAAACATGGTCTTTATTAACATTTATGAAGTATTGACATGCAAAGACAAAAATATTTACAACACTATTAAGCTGTGATTAAGAGAACTTGTCAGTGTGCATGCACAAGAACACTGCAAACTGGAAGCATACTACCAATTATGTTCGAATGAATGTTGCGACACCATCTTTTCTTCGCTCTAGATGCAAGCGCCCAACATTGAGATCAGCTAATAATAAGTGTGTATTTGTGGCCTCTGCACAACGACAGCAGAGACATGTAAGTATCTGATGGTGTTCCAAAATACAATCTGCCAGGTGCTTTTGAGCCTGGCAAACTTTATATTTAGCTTGAGCTGCTTTGAGTGCGAGGTCAGAATGATTGTCTTCCTCTGCTTGGTCGAGTGATGTGGAGTCTCATTCCTGCCAGTACCAAAGGCATATAAGAATGACGAAGCATTGAAGTGATTAGCGGATAACAACTCACAAAGTGCATCAATATGGGGAAGCTATCTTCCTCTTTGACGAGCTGCGATTGTCGCAGAAAAGATGAACTTTGTTTGGACCGAGAATATGGAGAGACTTCCTCATGATGATGGGAGGATGGAAAATGAGGAGAAAGTTCAGAATTGAAAGAGGAACTTCAAGAAGAAACTGATGAACTGTGAGAGGCCCGGGAACAGTGCGAAAAGGCCATAGAGTTAACATTGGAGGTTTGCATTGCGAGCACTGGTGGCAATATGGACAATATCTAGTAAGTATGATGATGTGACACCAATGTGATATGTCGGAGTGATGTGTGAGACTTATTAGTCTGTGCATCGGTCAATATTAGTTTCACTTATGTCAGTGCCAATATGTCCAAAGTGTGGCAAAGTATTCACCAAGGAATCTAGTGTCACTCGACACCTCAGCCAGCCTCAGACATCGTGTCACAGTTCTACTCGCGATATGGTCGATATCTTACAGTTTGCTGAGTTGGATCCTTCACAGCAATCTCAAGGTCAACCTCAACCAATGTTGGGCTTGGACATCCCGCAATTTAATACTGAGGATGAGATGATGAACATTGACTTTGGCGGAGCCCATTTCCAGGATGAGGGAGAGTTATCAGAGGTGGAGATGTATGAAGGTGCAGGAACTTGTTATGCTCGGGATGGTGTGACCTTTCTGGATCTTTTTGATGCTGATGAATATGCAGAACACAGGAAAGAAAACCTCTTCTACCCTTTTGCATCAAGGGAAGAGTGGGAAGTCGCTGATTTTCTCCTGCGTTCTCCCCTCAGTATGGCAGCAATTAACCAGTTTCTGGGACTCCATATGGTGCATGTCCTTTCCACAAGTGCTGACGTTTTCTGACAGTATTTGTAGATCCTTCAGTTGAAATTGTCATTCCGCAATGCTAAAGAATTGTGAAGCCGTGCTGAGATGCTGCCGAAGGGACCAAGCTGGAAGTGTCAAACCATTCCTTCGCTCAATCCCACAAAAAGTCCTATCCAATTGTTTTGGAGGGATGCCATGGAATGTTTGGAAAGTCTCTTCAGTAACCCCCTTTTTCATGACCAGCTGGATTTTGTCCCTTGCCGCGTTTACATGACATCGGCGCGGCTTCTTCGTGTATACTCAGAGTGGTTGACAAGTGACTCTGCATGGGAGATCCAGGTATGTACAGTTTGTGTGTCAATATTCATGTTGTCTCATCATAAGAACTACAGGACCAGCTCCACAGAGGTGCAGCAGTCCTGGGCACTGTGCTTTCTTTGGACAAAACAAATATTACCAATATGACTGGTGCCAGAGTCGCTCATCTGCTCCTTTTGGGCCTCGCTAACATTCGCATGAGCACTCGCACCAAGCTCTCATCCAGGGCTTTTCTGCTCACAGCTCTTGTCCCTATCCTGGAGTACTTGTATCCCAAACAATGGATGCGGGGCATGCTAGAAGATCACCTTATGCATGAGTGTCTTTCCATAGTTCTGAAACCCCTTATGATAGCTGCTGAAATCGGAATCATGATGTCCAACCCAGTGGGAAATGTGCGCCACTGTTTTACGCGTCTTGCAGCGTATATTGTCGATACTCCGGAGGCATGTATGCTTGCATGCGTGTGCAGGAAAACTTTGCTGTTTACCTTAGCATCATATCTGGAGTTTGGGGACGACTTTCGACACCCTGAGCGCACACACTCTATCACCCTGGAACAGCTCGATAGCATAACAGTTGATCCTGATGACCTTGAAGCTTACTTCCAAGCATGCGAGGAATACCGACTAAATGGTGTCCACTCTCCTTTCTGGAAGGACTGGCTGCTCGCTGATCCATCAGTCTTTTTAACTCCTGAACCTTTGCATCACTGGCACAAGGAGTTTTACGATGTAGAGAATCATGCCCCTCATGGTCTGATATGGCACTTTTCCCTAGGGAGTATACAGCATGAACTCACAGCATCACTCTGTGTGCTACCTGCAGCTATCCCTATATGAGGTGCAGCTTTCCCACGCACACTTCCTGCGCTTCGCGATGTATATGCACGCGCGTATTCCCGAGCTTGAGCACCCTATAGCGCCAACCATCCAGATGCATCCATCCACTGTCCTCCAAGTTCTCTAGTGCGTATATTTCCGTTTCTCTCATTTGTATATTGTTCCACCTTATTTTTATCATGGACCCTTACTTATATATATCTCTACATACCTACTTGGTAGCGCTTCGGCTCTGCATGACAGCACTTAGGTGCTATATAAGCGCCAGCAGTACATACCATTACTCACTTTTCACCTTACCTTACTTCACCTCTCACTTTACTTACCAGTTACTACCCATTTACTACTTAGTAGAACATAGTAGAAATCTATTTGTCTACACTTCGCATCCCTCTTCTCTTGTCTTACATCAAATCATCACTTAAGCAAACTTATTCTTACACTCTCTCATTTCCACATACACGCGCTTCGCGCAGCACACGCACGCGTTCCCGCGCCTTCGTGCCTTGCGTGCATCTGTGCTTTCTCGTGCTTCACTTTAGCGCACACTTCTAGATCCTTGCTGCACTTGCTTCCCCTTTAGGGTCGAATGCACTTGCTGCCACAAGTATAGCAGACTAGGCAACACACGACCCTACAACATTTACAGATACAGCCAGGAGCCTTGTTCGCACCTCACAGTATTGTTGTTTCTACAATGATCATGATCTCCAGTGGTGCCTTATAGTTGTTGGAGCGCAGGAATTAGACTTTCGCATATCAATATTACAGCCTACTGTAGGCTATCGCCACTTTCATGGCGGAATTTCGAAATTGAAGCAAGTCACGGGCAGGGTGCACCGAGATATTCAGTGTTACATTATCGGCCTGATTGCCGGTGCAGCCCCTCGTCGATTTGTGGTCGCAATCTGTGCTCTTATGGACGTCCAGTACATGGCACAGTCTCCTTTGCCTGATGAGAACTTGCTAGTGCGTATTGACAGATCACTCTCGATCTTTCATGAAAATAAAGACATTATCCTCTCCCTAGGCGCTCGGATGGGCACGAAGAAGCCTATCGACAATTTGTTCATACCCAAGCTCGAACTTATGCAGAGCATTACTGCCAGCTCACGCAAAGTTGGTGCCCTCATCCAATGGTCTGCAGACACCACTGAGCATGCCCACATATCCAAAATCAAGGACCCTGTGCGGCACACCAATAACAACGACTATGATCCTCAAATCTGTCGTCATTTAGATCGCCAGGAGAAGCTGTGACGGTTCACGATTGCTACAGCACTGAAGAGTTCTTGCGCTCATTCCAACTCGGAAGAATTCCTTGAGAATGAGGTGGATGAAGAAGACGATGAAGATTGTGATGAACTGACGGACCCACGAACTGCGCTCTTGGAAGAGCTGAACCATACGTGCATCACTACCAAATACTTTAGCAAAGCAAGGCAATTGGTTGCCACGAGGCGTGATAATATTCCTCACCCTCCCCGGACATTTGTTGCTGCCTCCACCACTATCCATCTTAATTTTTTCCCTACTCATACTGGGCTGAAAATTGACGAGGTCACTGATGATTTTAACATACCAGATTTACGCCAGGTTCTTTCCGACTTCTTGCAATGTAACACGAGGAATGGAGAAGCAGGTCATGGATTGGGAGTTCCAAGAAGATCACTAATCGACCGTCCCTTGACTCTTCCTTTTGAACATATTCAAGTATGGCATGTTGTTTGTTTGCAACAAGTTTCTTTCCACAATGCCAGTGTTATTCTGCCCGCACAGACTGTGCATGCCTCCCCCCCATCTCCTATCAGTGGGTGGCCAAAAGGCCAATGGGATGCTGTCCTCATCAATGTTGATCAAGCCTATGATTGGCCCAAATCAGGGTTGATGGGTGAGTTTGCTTGTGTTGATATTAATCTTGCTTATTGTGACCCCCCATTTTTGAAGGGAACCAAGTTTGCAAATTGCAGCTCATAATGCGCCTGGTTCCCTGGCGACGTTCATGCATTACATGGCATGATCAATATTTGTGTTATGTACATAGTTTCAAAATGGGTGTGATTGACCCGGTCACTGAGATGCATGTATTGAAACACGCTAAACATGCCGATGGTGCCCCAGTAGGTGATATAGTACCCCTTGGCCAACTTCGTGCATTTATCCACATCATTCCTCAACTTAATCCTGTGGCAGATGCGCGGTTTACGAAGGCAAATTCTACTCATTATCATTCATCCTTTTTCTTGAATAAGTACTTTGACAAGCAAATATATGATGCCCTCTCATAAGGATAGATACCTTTTACTTTTATTGAGCGTTTCACATTTAAATTGCATGTATGGCATGTAGAATTGATGGAATCAGATCTTCAGCATGCTTTGACAAGGGTGACAGAGCCTCCTGAGACGCACCCTGATGCACCACACCAGCATACTGATACTAGCTCCTACCAGACACCACTCTGCAGCACACTGTCTAATTCAGAGTCATCTTGCAAACTGCCAATGGCAACCACCTCATTGTTCAAACTTCCTGAGGATGCCACATCATTTGACCTTTACCTTTGTGGGGCTTCACTTAGCTCTGCAGGTTTTCCACCTATAGGCGGACGCACCGTTAGTACTGTCAAAGGTCTTCTGAGATCAGAGCTTGATGGCAAAGTTATTGACGAGTCTAATCTTAAGAAGATGAAATTCACTGATTCCATCTTTTGTGAGCTCATCCGAACATCCTCCCTTCAGTTACAACACATCAACAAGATCAAGTACCATAAAAAGGATGGTTCATCAGTATACACCCAAAAAAAGTGGAATTTCAACTGGAGGAAAAAGAGCAAGACGAAGGACCCAGAGAGCATTGATACAGATGCCACTGACTTGATTGACTCGGATGAAGAAGTTGAGGGTTTGGATTCTCATGGTTCAACAATCTTTTCCCAAGGGACTGATGGCACCTGGAGTGACGACGAATACAAGGGCAGTGAAAATACAGGATCAAAGAGGAAACGAAAGAAGCGTTTGACAGAGAGAGACTTACAGTACCTATTCCATGCCATTCAGTGGGCCCTGCGCAATCGAAGCGGATACCCAATGAAACTTCCCTTTGAGATTTCGCCTATTGAGCGGTACTGGTCTGCAGAGTTTGCCAACTCTCCCATACAAGACCCATACAATGCTCAGAAGCCGGATGTAGCCCTGTTCTATTACAAGAACAAACATCGGGAAAAAACATGGGCTGACGTCTTGAGCTTCATGGAACACACTTCTAGCAACCTCACTGTAATGCATGACTTAGCGGTGTATTGGAGATCTGCCACCAAAGCGTACCTCATCATGCAAGAGCAACCCTGGCGTTGTTTCGTTCTTGCTTACTCTATTTGCACAGATGACCTTCATGCCCATTATTTTGACTGCTTGGGGCTCATCATATCCCTTCCGACCCCAATCCATAAATTTCCCATATGTGTTACTGAGGCAGTAGCCACAACTGCATTAGCCGACCCGCAGTACTTGGGCCTCAACCCAACCATCCATATGTGCATCCCTGATTGTCAGGGTACTCATCCCTCTCTCGCTGTGGGGGCAAAAGGATGGGTAATTAACAACAGCGGTAAAACTTACTTGATCATGGACACTTTATGGAAAAGTCAGGGTTTTTTCTGTCACAGGACTGTTTGTTATTGTATCAGAGATCCTACCAACCCAGACGGGAAGGATTATGTGATGAAGGACTGCTGGGTGCCTGAGGCAAAGAGGTATCATGAAGTGGATGTCCTTGAGCGCGTCAAGGGCATTCCGAATGTCATTGAACTCATGGATCATTGGGATGTCATGTGCAATGGGGAGCCCGACTGCACAGCGTGGATTCATAATCGCTACCAGCAGTTCAACCCAGAGGATAGGGATGATCACAGGTTCTGCAATCAATTTCACTGGCGGATTGTCATGACCCCTTGTGGAGAGCTGCTGTCAGATTTCAGCTCTAGAAAGGAGCTGATCTGTGCTTTTCGTGACTTTGTCGTTGGTGAGTTCAGTTCAGTTCGACATGTCAAATTCAAGTGTAACAATGTTATAATTTTAGCTCATAGACTCATGGTCAAACGTGGAATTCTACATGGGGACCTCAGCCCGAACAATTTCATCATCTATGAGGGTATCGGGTACTTCATTGATTTCTATCATGCTGGATTTATAGAGAAAGGCAAGGCCTCTACGATTTCATTTGGCACTGTAAGAATTTCGAGTTTACTGTTCTCGCTCAGGCTGTTAATCTTATTTTATTAGGGGATCATCCTGTACATCTCTATGCATGTCCTCAAGATGATGTGCAGGAATGCTGAGACCATGAAAAAGACTGCTGACGCTAATCAGCTGCACCCAATCAAACACCACGTGTGTGATGACCTCGAGTCCATGTTTTACATCTTTTTCGAATATGTTGCCAAGTATGGGGGGCACATGGCATACTCGCACTGACATGGGATAAGCTGGTGATGCCATGGTCAGACACCTATGAAAACTTAGGTGCCAGTGGTTTGCTTACCACTTTCTTGTCTAAGAAGGGAGCCATATTCGAAGGCGACTTTTTGATGGACAGAGTCTCCGAATATTTTTCAGAATTCAGACCTCTAGTTGATGAATGGCGCAGTCGAATCCACCTCACGGAAATTGACACCAGTGAAACAATTGTACATGATCACATATTTCAGATGCTTGTCGCGTTCATCGTGAAACTTGATGATGAAATACCAGACCTGGACCCACTGCCCTGTGCTCCCTCCCAGCCTGCAACTCTTCAATCCACAGCAGGTCCTTCAGCCGCAACTCTTCAACCCACTGCAGGTCCTTCGGCCCTTCCACACACTGGCACACCATGGCCTTCATCAAGCCAGCCAGGCCCATGCCATTCACAGCGACTTGCTTCTACGACTCAGCCCAGGAGGACTACTAGATGAGATACTAGACAGAGAAGTCTCGTCACCCTGTTCCGGGTCATACCATGCTGGCATGGCTAGTTCTAAACTATATTGTCTTCTCCAAGTCTGCCTATTTTGTCCTTGCGACTTTGCTGCACCTTTTTCTTCTCGGTCTACTGTTGTAAATTTTTTAGGATGCCTCTGCGTACTGTCATAGCATTATGATTACATAACATTTGCTTACATGATGTCTATATCTACTAACCGACCTGCGCTGTTCATTGCTTTGCTGATCTCCAATGCCTCCCAAGAAGAGAGCTAGATGTTCTACTATAGGTGCTCAGGATGATATGACACCTGAGGTTGCTTGTCGACAAAGCTCCAGATCTAATCGCAGTGTTGGCGGCCACACAGCACAACTTCAAAAAGCTGGAGAAGCGATAGCAGCACCCACAAAGAGTAGGAAAGGACGAAACAATTACCCTGAGCTTGATGCCAGTGATCCTGAAGAAAATTCAATGGCTCCTGTGCGGCTGCATCAGGGGAAGAAAAGTGTAAATTTATTCTATTTTATTTTAATGATGTTCGAACTATGATCATATCAAGCTCCTGCAAAACCTTGGACTACAAACAATGTTCCCAAACCGAAACCTGTTCCTGCAAAACCTCAAACTACGAGCAGCAATTCTAAGCGACCCTATCAAAGGTCGGGCAACAATCACCCAGCCCACACTTCTCCCCATCCAGTGCTACATACTGTTCGCTCTTCTGACAGATTCGGGTTTAAGGCACCTACGCCTACTTCCAGTGTGCAGTGCACCCAGAAGGCAAACCAGCGAGACATGAGCGAGGAAGATGATGATAGAGAGTCTGTGCACCAATTGCATGACAATACACAAGTGGTAGCTTGTTTTTCACCTCTAGCTTTCTTGATGTACTCATTGCAGGGACGGAGCCGAAAAAAGTGGTGTAGGTCAGCATGTGGACAATGGAGAGGACTCCAGTCAACATTCAGATGCACCTGTTGAAGATGGTGGTGACGATGGAAGGGATTTTGATCGAGAGCATGACTGGGAAGACGAACCCATGGATATGGAAGGTCAAGATGATGTATTCCGATTTTTTTTTGCTCATGTTCACTCGTTGATTATGTGTATAGAATACTTATGATGTTCTTGAACATCATCAAGCACAGAATGGACAACGCAAGGCTCCTTCACTGTCATATCTTTCGAAAATGAAAGGAAATGAACGTGCTAGTACCTCCATTCGCTTCAAGTCTCCTTGCCAACGCCTGTCTCAAAGTAGTGACCACCCGAGATCTCGTCAATGTGTGCCATCTGTGGATGCCTCTTCTGTCCAAGTGCCTACTTCCCGACGTAGACTCTCGCCATCTCATCCGCCCAAACTTTACATTCGCCCTAAGTCTCCACGCCAACACTCATATCAGCCCGCAACGTCTATGCAACATACTTCATATGTGAAGTCTTCATGTTGGCACTCCCCATCTTGACCAGTCACTTCCTCCGATAGTCGTACACAGGCCTCCTTCTGCAAATGCTCTCCATCACAGACTTCTTCTGACCATGCCACTACTCCTAGTCATTCACTCTCTCATAGCACTACACCCATTCAAGCTCGGTGCACACGAAATGTCAAGACAACACAAGAAAACCCTTCTAAGCTTGGATTTTATCCACCTTGTTGGCAAGGCTTTCTTCAGGTGGCAAAATTACAGATGCAACTGCAAGCTGTTCTCACACATCCAATTCCAGAACACAAGGATGCTGTGCAACTTGCGCAAGAAGTCTTGGACGCTGAATTGTGGGTATGCCACCAGAAGAAGCTTAAATTTGAGGATGGTAAATTTTCCCTATGCTGCCGCTTTCTTCAAGTCTTCTCATGTCTTGTTGCAAGGCTACTTCCCAGCATATAGCCTGCAGATGTGCCAGTTGGTAAGTCCCCCATTTATTGATGGTGGGCACTCTCGCTGATACATTGATCAGCTCTGTGACGATCTCTTCACATTCCGTACAGAGCTCAAAAAGGTTGTTATCTCTATAGCTAAATTGTCTTATGATATCTTCCCGAAGGGCACCTCACTGCGATTGGAGGAGATAAAGAAGCATGTCATTGCAGCTGCCACTAAGCTACTCAAGACTGGTGATTACCTCCGGATCCCTGACTCGTCTGATGTAGGTAACGACTCTTGTTAATACACTGACTCACTATTTTTCTCACAGGGAAAATTCAAGAATTTTGTATCACAGGCTCTCAAGGATGTTTGTCTCAAATTTTTCTATGGTGACAGCAAGAAAGTGCTGAAGAACATGGATGACTTCCACCAAACAATCCCTGCTAACGCGCTCATTCTTGTGGCGGCAGTTGTGCACCTTTTTCTTTTTCCTTTTCGCTGATGATTTCATAGATGAAGGGTGTTATTTCTGGGTTCAGTGAAACTGGGACCAACAGATCTCCTGAACTCCCTGCTGATAGATGCAGGACTGACTTCAACAAGTTGTGGACATCAGTTGATAAGTTGCTCAACATTCCGGAACTTCGCGAAGAGCTTGAAGAGATGCTGCAGCAATGGGCTAAGATTGGTATGAGCGAATCTGATTGGCATGCAGATGGGAGTGCAGCAGGCAGTGATGTGGACATCAATATCATACTTTAATGTGCTGTTCGATGCTCAATGCTTATTTTAGTTTGATAATCATAATGACAGTTGGCATGACTTTTGCACGCTTGTATGGCATGTTTCCCATGTACATCTACTATTTATTCATACATAATGTAGCCTCTGCATGATCTGTGTAACTTGTCTTATCTGCACAACCTGGCTTGTCTGTCCATGGTCACTATATTGTAATGACTGTACAGATTGTGGGCCTATGTACAATCCAAAACTCCCTGGCAGTATAATGTATTACATACTGTAATTGTAGAAAGTATGTGATATATCCACACCTTTAATCCTTACATGGTGATGTATCCTCACTGTCTGATGTATCACTCTGGGTTTATGTATGATACTCCGCCATGATATATCACTCGTGACTCAGTCAATGTAGCCAATATATCACACTGTCTGGTATGCCTTTCTCGTGACCTGTGGTAGCTGATATATTACTGTCTGATGTATCACTCTATTTCCTGCACTGGAGCCGTGATACATCACTCTGTTGAGTCTACCTGTGACTTAGTCGCTGATATATCAGCATGGTATGTGCCGAATTAAACATAGAATTAAACATAGAACATAAACCTCTGTCATGCATAAAATGTCTACCAAAAACAAATCGGTATGTATGCTAAAGTATTTGTATTAGTCCATGAGAGGCACAGCAGTCCACGAGGGGATGGCTTCCCACAACAACCTGAACCACGCAGACATGCTCTGGCGTAGCATTGCCTGGCGATGTGCATATGCAACTGCCCCCTCTGTGAATGCAGATGAGCCAAATTGGCGTCGCGAGCCTTGCGTGTCCCACCATCCAGCCTGCCACTCCAAGAAGGTAAGAACACGACGCATTTCCTCATACAGGAGCTGGACTTCCTCCTCCCACCAATGAGCCTGTGCCCGTGCCTTGCACCATTCCACATGTAACACTACAATATATTAATTGAGTGATATGCAGAGTCATAATCAAAGACTTACAATCCTGCAATCCTTCCTCCTGATTGTTTGATACCCCAGCCACCTTCCATATCCATGAAATATTCTGTTGGCCAACTGTCTTGCCTTTATTGTGTTTGAGCGGGACCGCATCTTTTCTCCTGTCCAGTAGCTTCAGTATCTGCCGCCAGTCGTCATTCTTGCCTAGTCTCGATGCAAGTATAACGAGGGTGTCTCAGGCAGCTGTGTACTTAGCTGATATTGCATCAATTTGGCTTTCAGCAGAATGGATGATGCCGTGAGCACGAGTGTTTGCATGCTGACCTCAAATGAAGGTGTCCTTATACTTGTAGAGGTGGTAGGTCATATTGATGACAGCGTGGAGGTCATTTAGAGCATTGTTTGCCTGTGCTTGACGCAAATCCCATTTGTACTTTAGTAAGTGGTCGTCACATGGGAATGTCGGGGGCAGTGATGAAGGGAGAAAGAGGTTGATTCTATGGGCCTTGTCCTCAGAGGGAATGTCACTGGGTGAATGTAGGCAGGAGACGTAGGGCATGTATAACAGTTGTACTCAGGACCAGGTATCAATCCTATGGTGGAGGCTATTGATGTGTTGGAGTATCTTGACTTTTTGGGCATCGGTGGCATACTGTCTGATGGTCTTCGCCTCCAACTCAACATGTCATCTACATGAAGCTGCATGAGCGATGACTACAATACTTGTAGCTGAATACTTACTGTTGATCCTCTAGTTCCATCCCTGATGATATGAGGACCAATGGCGATATATCATCGTCTAGGGATATATGTTCGCCACACTCAATTTCTTCTGCCTCAGCCTTCAATAATGCTAGATGCATGGCAGCCTGGGTCACAGCTGTCAAATTACTCCTCAGTGGCACAGATCGTCAGGAGCAAAACAATGCTCACTAGTTCTTGCTTTGACTTCAAACAGATTCGTCAAGGAGTGGTCTGACTCCCACATCTCGATCTCTTTCCGCCATCCAGCTAATTGATCTGCATCAAGGGCAGCCTCGAACTCCTTAAGATCACCGGCACATTCTTCAGCCTCAGGTATTGCAGCCTTATATTTACGGAGGAGAATGGTGCCTGTGAGTGCAACTTAGCATTGAATTGTTATCGATAGAAAAGTAAGTTACCCATGGCGCAGACCTTCTTCCAATTCCAGTCATTAAAATGATCATCTATAGTGTCTTGCGTCGATCCAGGTCCCATCTCACGAGTGCTTGTAGTGATAGGGTTGATATCTGCCCACCTGCGCTCCGGGGCTTCACCATCAGTCTGCCCAACACTTTTGATAAAATTAAATGAGAACCTCGTTTGGCAACTGGCGATGTGCGCTGGCAGATGGAATTTAGGAACTAGGAATGTGATGAGCTTGTTGTCGCGGTCAATGTGATACTCATGTGGGAATGCTGACATGCGTGACCAAAGGTTTTTGTTCCACTGGCAGGCTATGTCATAAGATATATTGAGGATGTGAATGTCATGTGAAGACTGCATGCTTAAAAAAAAAAGGTAATCCATGTTTATGTACCTATTAATGGTGGGTTCAGAAACATAGCTATGATACGGTAAACAAAAGAAAGCACCTCTCCCCTTTTTGTAAGTCACCAACTGAACACGGTCACTTGAAATTGTGCCTACACCTGTTGCTGCAAGTCCATGTGAAGCTCTCATATCCACCAGGTTCACAGCGGAGTGGCTAGAACATGTGCTCTTCTATGTTTAATCATAGTTAGTGCTATGACTCAGGCAAACATATTAAACTTACCTCCTGAGCATTGCCCACCCTATTGCACGAAGCCAGGAAGTGCTTGTACCCAGTCTCCTCCACGAAAAATGTGTACCCATAATTCAATCCAGGATCAACGGTGTCTGATGATACGTTATGCCAAACCAGTCGGAAGTTGGTGTCAATTCCAAGGAATATAGCATATAGAAATCTGTGGCTGAGTTAAGAATGAAAGTTAAAACTTTTATCAGCATGCTTACTGGAATTCTGGTGGAGAATTTTCCCACCCAACAGGTAGATTTTTGTTTGGATGGGGACAGGCAGGGCATAAGACAGCACAAGCACCAGCCTCTGTTGCGTTAATGCCTCCTGGATGATGACCCTGACCGCAGTGTTTCATTTGCATCACAAAGCGCCATTCATGCATCATCCAACAAAGACTATCATAACGATCCTGAATGATATGTGTCAGTAAGGATGTGTTTGGACACAAAACTACATTACCTACCTTGGGAACATGGGTGCCTGTGTTTTCCGTGAGGCGAGCAACTGTATTGTAAAACTCCCATGCCGATACTTTAGATTCAAATGACAGCATTTGAAAATACTCTAACACGTGAAAGGTGGCAGCCGATTTAGGGTCTGACGTTGTGGCAGGAAACAGGCGACCATGTAACAACTGAATAATGTGCAGCTGAGCAGACTTGCATCCACAGAAATCAAGTCCGACTTCGTGAATACCATTGCAGTCAAGGATAACGAAGTCATCATTGAATGCAGGGATCAGATTGATGCATTGGGCACCGATGGGATGCCCAAGTTGAAAGCAGGCCCCCAAGGCCTTCAATGTGGTGATCTGAAACGAGGTACTGTTCCAGCACTGCAGCAGCATTGTACATTCAGATTGTTATTTGTGAACAAAGAATGTACATACCTCAATCCTGTGTAACAGCTGCCTCTCGTGTATATGCACGGCACATGTGGGACACAACAACTCTGCACCATGACAGTCTTGGTACCGATACATTGGGTCTGCTTCCCTGCAGAAACATGTGGTGTGCACAAAGTCACCATGGCCCTCCAAGCGAAGAAACTCTAGCAGAAAGAGGTCAGCATCCGAATTCCACAAGCGCAAAGGATCATCCTGAGGAGACCTTAGTTAGAATCACTACTGTGATATCAACCAACATATGACTTACTCCAGCAGTACGATTTCGCTTGCCAGACCCCACAAATGTATCACAAGCATCCTCGCTAACATCATTGAATGATGAAAAATCAAAACCATCTGTTGGTAGGTGGTGTACGTCTTGTGAATCAGACTCTTGGAATCAGTGTTTGGCAGGTGAGTGTGGAACCGTGTAGTATACTGAAGAAATAGAAAGACAACCACTGGGTGCTGCCTCAAAGCTAGTGTATTTGCGCTGCTGCTCCTGGCAAGTCTCTTGTGGAGTGTCGTTGGTCTCATTTCTCACTGCTCTTCCTGCAGCATCATTGTGAGCAAAGAAATTGTGCTGGAAGTGCCGTAGTGTTCACTGCTTTCAACTAGCAACCATAGTTGATGACAAAATATTCAGTACTGAGTAGACATCATGCCCTGTGCCAAACATCAGTTTTTTCCAGTTCTTTTACCCCTATGTAAATCCAACTGTGACTATAGAAGTACTTATTATGACAGTACTGACCGAGTTAACACAATTGTAAGGCAGCTATATTAGTTTGAAGAGGAATGTGATTTTAAGATGAAAGAAAACATATATGTGAAACGGCAAGGGTCCTTGGGTGCAGAGGATAAGTTTTAAGATGAAAGAAAACATATATGTGAAACAGTAAGGGTCCTCGGGTGCAGAGGATAAGTTTTGAGATGAAAGAAAATATGTGAGACCGAATGAGTGGCGTATGAGCACAAGGTAAGTTTTAAAATGAAAGAAAATGGAAAGCAGCATGGCTCGGAATGAAGAGTGATGCGGTGAGTCGCATGGATAGCTTCGAGCGCCTAGTCATAGTCCATGCATAGAGGATGTTCAATCCTTACACAATGTAATCAGATAACATGAAAACACAGACACACAACTCGTTCAGGAGGCGTTTTCCAGCTGAGTGAACCTGCCAACACAGCATCGTCATATGCTTCAGTACACCCTTGATCTACCATGGCAATGAACTCCCTTTCTGCAGCAAGTCGTCGTGTTGTCAGATGGAGCAATTGCTCACATTGCTGTGATAGAGTGTTGTGCCCGATCCCTGGTGCACATAGCCACACATTCTCAGCTAGGTTGGTAGCATGCTGGTCAAATTCTGCACAAAAGTACATGCATCTTTGAGTTCAGGGGATATTACATCCCATCCTTCTGTATCGATGTGTTGGAGTACCGCAAGAAAGCGACTCAGGATGGTATTGTGCTCAGGAACACCTGCTTTGTAGCCGAGCTCCATGTATAGTGTATCAAGGTCTTGAAACATGGCAATAATGGACTTTGTGACAATCATAGAGATGGTGTTCAACATGTATCATGCGCTGTCACTCAAGGAAGACATACATTGCTCATTTGAGACAGCTTTCGCCAATGATTTCGTGACTTTGCCTGCTTCATAGCCTTGTTTCTAGAACAACCATTAATTCCAGAAGACAGCAAATTAATCAAAGCTTACCTTGCATAGTGAGCTCGCTTGCTTTTCAATCTAGCATTGTGACGATCTTCTTCAGACTTGTATTTTGGTGGCATTGATGATATCCGTAAGCTTTGAAGGGTAAGCATTTGCAATTGATTTGCAGACGGGCCTTTCAAACAGTAGCCACACTTCGGGACAGACAGGTACTACACCCTTTTCAATGATAGCCACACTTCAGGACAGATAGTACCACTTTTCAATGATAGCCACACTTCGGGACAGATAGATCACAATCTCAATAAATGGAATAAAATGAATTAAGCCAAGAATTCTGAGTTGCACGCAAAAGCTTACAGGATGGGTTTGTCAATGAGTCATGTAAGACTTATTGAGCATGTCCCACTCATGCGCAAAAGCTTACTGATTCACATAAGACTCATTGAGTTATCAATGAGTCATGTAAGACTCATTGAGTTGTCAATGAGTCATGTAAGACTCATTGAGCATGTCCCACTCATGCACAAAAGCGCATCAGACATTAAATCCAGAGTAACCATGGCAAATTGTAAGACCCATTGAACATGTCCTACAATTTTAATATGTACAACCATGGCAAAGTGTTTATAAGACCCAGCACGTCCCGCAATATTTTAATATATACAAATGATGGAGTATCTACTGGATCCACACTGAACCAACCAGATGGCCTCAATGAACTGCTCGAGTGTGAAGCAGGGATGAGGTAGCATTTGAACAGGTTGGTTGTGGGGGCACCTGATATCTGAGTGGGACATGTTTGTAAAGCTGAATGAAGGCGGTAAGTTCAGGTTAGCGGTAAAGAAAATAGTATTTGTACTGCTCATTGATTGATTGGCATTGATTGGTTGGTGCAATGAAAAAAAACAAAGCTGAGTAAGGATGTGGTGAGGAGATTTGCACTTTGTTTGGTATACGAGAGTGACCTATCTACATCCCCCCCGGGAAACAACACAGGAAAATGTGAGCAAAGACCATACCAACCAGAACAAATGAATATTGCACTGACATTATATGTTCAGATGGACAACAGCAAAGGAGCTTTTATGGCTGCAAACCGAAGTGCCAACATACCTGCAGATGCAGAAAGAAAAAAAACTTAATTGATTCTTTGAACTTCTGTACCCAAAGTGGTTCAGCAATTTCCCCGAACACATGAGAGTTTTTTCAAGTGAAAACTCACCCAACAAGGCCACCGACATCAATCAATCTGATCTGGACTTAGAGGAGGCCATCAATGAGGTCGACACTGAGCTGGATCATGAGAACAGTATAAGTGATGTGGAAAAACTCACCAAGTTGGACGCAGAACAGACAAAGGTGCTCAATGACGCCATCAACCATCGATGTAAAGTGTGTTTCTTGATGCTGAGCTAAATATAGATGGGGATTCTGATTAGCGATTGAACAGAAATTGCGGGAGTGGTTTAGAAACAATACCAAAGGAAAGACTACGCCTGGCAGGACATCAACCAGCAAAATGCTATCCACGTTGCTTGGCCAGTGTGCACGAGGCACTCAAGACCTCAAGGAAATTGAAGTATACTCGCAACTTCACTACGAGTCAAAAGTCAAGCCCTTAGTTTCTGATGATATCAAGGAGAATAAACTAGTACTACCTGATCAAAAGCTTCATGCTGTTCAGCAACACACAAGTGAATGTTTTGCAAAGGAGCCAGAAGATGTGAAGGATGAGGTTCATAATGAGACAGTACATATTAATGCTGCCAGAAAGTTGGGATCAGTTGCACCAGGGCAAGATCGGACAAAGGAGGAAATTTACCGGTAAGCGATTGTTTGTTTTGTCTGACTTCAACTGATTAATTCCTCACTGATCAAGTGCAATTCAAGAGTTGCCCATCGTGCTGGGTCAAATATTTGAAGAACTTTCAACTTTAACGGGAGGATGGCACTACTCACTTGTTATGGGTGGACCCAATCCTTTGTGTGAAGGTGATATCATGACATTGAGGTGCGTTTTCTTATTATTACATTCACACAAATTTGATGCATCACCATTGTTAGTTATCATCATGGTAAAACCCTGGAGGGTTTGAGCTTTAAGGTGTCAATGCCTAACTTCCATGAAAAAATTTTATTACCATTTGAAAGACACCTGGGTCGCATATATGGTATATATCATCCTTGCTTAGTTCATAGCATAACAACTGATTATTCTCAATAGGTTCTTCTGCAAAGGGAACTTCGGTTCCTACATCCACATCCAGTTCCCCTCCTCCATCCACTACTGATCTCGCTTCGCCATCTGCACCTAGTTCACCTCCTTTGTTGACCATGGACCTCATTCCAACATCCACACTCACTTTGTCTCTTCCTCCATCGACTACCGACCTTGCTGTACCAACTCCATCTCCTCCATCAACCACGGACCTCAATTTACTAGATGAACTGCCAGGCCAGCCAAGTGTCCCCCTGCTACCTAGGCAGGAGTTTAATACCTCCGGACAGACACTTAATCCTATTCCTTTGATAAGGCAGCCTGAGGGATCCACACACATCCATGACACCGACTTCAATATTATACCACAATGGAACCAGTGGCAACATCACCCGAACCCCAACCCATCTTACACATCTCCTCATTCAGCACCTCTAATAGATCTAGACTCGCCAATCATGTCCTGGAGAAGGGACTATGTGGATGGCGGAAATACAACTTTGTCTGTCGCACTCCCAAGTGCTGCTGTCACACAGCCTCAAGTGTGGTCCCCATCAGACTATGTGGGTGATGGAAATACAACTTTGTCTGTCACACTCCCAAGCGCCGCTGTCATGCAGCCTCAAGTGTGGTCCCCATCGAACTATGTGGATGATTGAAATATGACTGTGTCTGTCACACTCCCAAGTGCTGCTGTCATGCAGCCTCAAGTGTGTTCCATGTCACCCACATTGTTGACACCGGAAAGCACTCTGTTACCCCAGCCCTCACTCCCAGACTTGCCAGTTTTATCTTCAATCAACGTTGATGTGTTGCCTGTCCACAAGACCACATTGGCACATAATTCAGAGCCCTTGATATCCTCGGAACTCATTGTCACGACACAAGCTAGACGATTGGGACGCCCAGGACGTCCTTCGACTCGAGCAGAGGAGGCCAACAAAATTGGTAATGCCAGCTCACAGCAAGGAACAAAGGCAGCATTTAAGAGGAAGCACAACACTGTGCAGCCCAGTGCTTTGGGGCTGAGGAAGAAGTCTCGGAAATGAAGAGGGCGTCCAGCCATATAGGTGACTTAAGGTTAATGATATATCACTGCAGGTGTAACACATTTTGCTGATATATCATGTGGGATGCTCTGGTATCAATTTAGAAAGCTAGATATATCACCTCCTACCTCACGGTGTAGAAGAGGAATCTTGACTATAGGCGAAAACACTTGAAACAAATGGGTGCTCTACAGCAAGACCAGGATACGAGACAACGACTCGACCCAAAGGACAACCACTGAGAGAAGTTCCTCGAAATAAAAATTGGAGGGAGACTGTATGAGCTAGGCGGGCGCTAGCAGGCGCGAGAATGTAACGTGCGCATACGTGAGGTGAAGGCGCACGTACATGAGGTGAAGGCGCACGTACGTGAGGTGAAGGCGCGCATACGCGAGGTGAAGGCGCGCGAGATGTGCGCGTGAGCGGGAGGTTCGAGAATGCGCGCGCACGAAGCGAAGGCGCGCCTAGAACGTTAAGGGAAAGGCCCTATTTGAAGAGTGGATGCACAGATGGATGGTTGACAGGAGAATCAGATCTGATATCAAGTGAGGAGGTGATCTATACACTTTCCAGTACACAAAGATAAGGGGAAAGTAAGTACTCGAACCCCAAAGATTCCCTTCTCTATTTAAGAATGGAGATTACACTATGCGGCGCGCTTCCGAGCGCACTCCCAAACTGAGTAACCATATCAACTCTAATTATAACTAAGTTTAAATAGACTTTCTATATGTAGTGCAGATTTCGGACCGAAGATTTGTTAGTTCAATGAAGGAGATAGGAATAACGCACCAGCAAATCAGTAAGGACATGGAATGAATGGATGGACAATAGCGCGAAGACCTAGGAGGAGGCGCACAAATGCACGCACATAGCGTGAGCGCAGGTAAGGCGCATGTAAGTGTGCAGCGAGACTGGTCCTTTGGATTAGAGCTGGATCATATAGGAATGTATGGATAAAGGCCGGATACTCGGCATTGAGACGCGTGAGTCTCTACATCTCCTGGGGACTTACATTCTGAGTGTCCCCACTCAGTGCTATAGCGCGGGATCTTGGACTTAGAGAAGTGGTGATAGACAGGGATCAGGTGATCGCGAGAGTAGGGTCGTCCTTTGATGATCGCAAGCATCGATGGTGTAATCGGGGGAGATGTTGATAAGAAGATGGACGTGTTCTCGCAATCTCTTGACTTCTTTGTTATCAATCTCTCACCATGCCTACTTTCAATGTTGCTATGCTGAACACCACTCCTTCCCCTGAGCCTGTTCCAGTGGCGCAAGGGCCTCCTGAGGACGCGCCTATGGGTGACGCTAGCACGGAATCCGATGCTGACCGCCTCCTTGTCGCTTGGGCCTCCATTCTGGTCTCTTTGGAAGGATGTGTGATGTCCGCGCCTGATCTCAAGCCGGAACTCCTCGAGGATCAAGAGATGTGGTTGCGCGAGTGGTATTCAGTGCTGGTGAGTGCGCTTACATGTATTTGTCTATTGTGGACTGACATTCCTAGGCCACCTTGAACGGTTGTTCCACGCGCGTGGGTGTGTTGGCGTTGGCGCTGGAGATGGATGACAAGAGCGCGGAGTCGTTAAAGCAGGGACGGAAGAGTTGTAAGGAGATTGAGGCGGTCGTGAAGTCGAGGCGCGCGCCACTGACGCGTCTGGTACTGATGTCAGCAAGAAGGTGCGTCTTCTGTTTCCTGTTGGCGCACCACTCTATTAACATGTCTGGCTGTGCTAGCCTCGCATCGGGCGCATGTCTGTGGTCAAGGCATGGCGCTGTGGTGCTTGCATTTCCAAGGACATAGACTGCGGAGGTGCGCCTGGTCGCCGGTGCCCTCCTTGTGATGTGTCCAAGCGTGCTTGCACTTTCTGTAAGTCGCGCCTTTTGTATTTTGATGGCATGCGCCACTGACTGCTGTGGATTAGCTAAGCACAACTATACAGATGCGCCTAAGGCGTGCCCGTGCAAACCAATGCCTAAGCGCCCTATTGCTGAGTCCGCAAAGGAAACCGCTTCCTCTATTGCTGTTGAGGATGAAGAAGAATCTGAGGAGTCTGAGATGGATGTGGAGATTGTTGGGGAGCATTCTGTGGAGGAAAAGGTCGTGTGCGCCTCGCGCAATATTCCTGTGCGCACCGTTGGTCCTTTGGCATCTGGTTCTGCACCTAAGGAAAAGGACAAGTCCAAGGATCCAGTGGTGGAGTTGAAAGAGGCGTGCGCGGAGGCCGCGCGTTTGAAGGAGGAAAATGTGCACTTGCGAACTTCCACTCTCCAGATGCGCCAGTATGCGCGCGCCAAACAGGCGGACCTCCTCAACTATTCCAACAAGTTTTTCGCTATGTCCAACATGTGGGCTGAATTGGAGAGGCAGATCAATGACTCCCTTAAGTAGATGCACCTTTGTTTTGTTGTTCTTGTCTCCTAAGCGCCAATGCGCCTTTGCAATAGATCCTTGTGGTGTCTTGTCCCATGTCCATGTCCATGTCCTCATCTGATTCACTGGGCTAAGAAATTAAAATTGTAAGTATGTAAGTAAGGGACAAGCGTGAGACGAGATCAAGGTAATGCGATAGACTTTACTGAATTTTCTGCGGGGTGCGCGCCCGTCTTGTCTTCTTCGTGCGCCTTCCATTATCTATCCCTGTTTTGTTGCGCCGCGCGCGCATTAGAAGGTGAAAGTCTATTGAGGTGATTATGCGCGTGCTATACAAATAAGGTAATGATCAGTATGTACTTGCGGGGTATTAGCGTTTTTTCGTGGTGCGATTGATATATTCTAGAGTCTGGGGTTTATGTGCAGGCAATGCACGTTATATGAACAAATGAGATGAAAGATATCACCGGACGAAACCCGGGGTAAAACTGAGAGTATGTACTTAATGGAATTTTTTGTTTTTTGTTTTTCATATTATCTGGTGTTTTTGCTTCTATGTTTTTGAGGACTGCGTGTTTGCACGAATATGATTGGGTGATGTGCGGGGTGGGGAATATGGTTGTGCACGCTAATTGTCTTGCGCGCGCTCGGGCTCGTCTTCTTCAGGCTCGTCTTCTTCGGGCTCTACGGTTTCATACGCTTCTAGTTCATCGATGCTCTTGTCGTCTACTCCAGTCATTTGGGTTACCGATATGCGCTCCCCGCTACGCGGGTAGTAAGGGATGACGCGAAACACGGCGAACCAGAGTTTTGAGATTGCGCCGTCCAACTCGGCCAACATATATGAGCCTCCCTTCGTGCGACGCACTATGATCATAGGTCCCAAATAGCGTGGCTTCGTCTTCTTGCTCAGTTTGTATTCGACTTTCGAGTTGCGTACCAATACTAAGGTGCCAGGTTCAAAGTCGTGCGATTTGATAGACGCGCAGAAGCATTTCTCAAAATCGCGTATGGACTTGTAGCGCGCCGCGACTACTTTATCCCTGATCGCGTTAATATCCTCTACGTGCTTCTGCAATTGGCACGCGCGCCATGCTATAAGGTCAGTAGTGGTGAATGCACCTCGGCTTGGTAAGGGCACAAGGAACGTCGCTTCTGCAAGGTCAAAGGGAAATATTGGCTCGACGCCATGCATCATGAAATAGGGCGATAAACCCGTCGCTTTATGAATGGTGACGCGCTCGGCCCAGAACACTGAATGAACTACCTGATACCAGCGAGAATCATCTCCGTCGCAGCTTTTAATGATGGCCTCCCGGACATCGCGGTGTCGTCTTTTGACTATACCGTTTGCCTGAGAATTATATGGCAAGATGCGGATCGGGTGAATCCCGTATTTGCGTGTGAGTTCGTCTACTGCGAGCCTATATGTGGGCGCATTGTCCGTCACTATCTCTGTGATCGGGCCCCACCTACACAAGAGCTCCTCGAAAATAAAAGCGGTTAGTGTGTTAGTATTTTCTTTGCGCAGCATGCGCCATTCCGGATACGACGTTAGCACACATCGCGCTTGCACGAGGTATTCATATCCGCCCGCTCTGGGCATCTTCATCGTGTCGATGTGTGCTTTGCGAAATAGACCTCCTGGTATGGGGACGATTGGGGGAATATGCAGCCTCCTCGTTTGGCGAACTTGGCATTCGTGACACGTTTGTCTGTACCATTTGATGTCTTCAATGATGCGCGGCCACCAAAAGTGTAGCCATAGGCGCGCGCTGACGGTATAGATACCCTTGTGCCCTAAGTCGTCATGCGCCTCCTTGAGAACGCGATAACACTTGTTTGGAGGCAACACAAGTTGGTGTTTGCCATGCGATGCTCTGCGCCATAGGTTACCTTCCAGAACGAAATAACGCGCCACGTTGTTCACGAACTTCTTGAATTCTTCATCTGAAACGTCAGTGGGTCTTTCGTGCGTGGTAAGAAACTGTTCTATAGTAGCCATCAGCGTGTCTTGCGCGCGCGCTGCGTCCGAGCGCAGGATATCTGGTTCTGGTTCTTCTGTCTCCGCGACATTGAAGTATACGCGCAATGCTGGTACGCGCATGCTCTGCGAGATGAAACATGTGTGATGCGCTTCATGGCGTATGTCACTCGAGCCACCAGCTATACGATGTGTGCGATCGTTCAAAAGCACGATAGCTAACGAGTATGCGCGATCAATCCAATCCTCATG